TCAAAACCAACCAACCAAATGAACAAACAGCCAAACGAGAAAGATTCAAGCAAGCATGTCATCCAACTCATGAATGGGCAAATGAATTGAATAGTTAAAGTCTATCTCAAGACCCAGCTATAACACTCTTGGGCATATGCCCAAAGGATGTTCAATTATGCCACAAAGGCACTTGCTTAACTATGTTCATTTTAACAGCATTATTCATAATAGTCAGAAACTAGAAATAACTTAGCTGCCTATCAACCAAAGAATAGATAAAAAGAAAATGTACATTTACACAATGGAGAATTACTCTGCTGTTAAAAACAATGACATAAGGAAATTTGAAGGCAAATGGATAGAACTTAAAAAAAAACCCATCCTGAGTGAGGTAATCCAGTCACAGGAAGACCAACATGGTATGTACTCACTCATAAGTGATTATTAGCTGTAAAGTAAAGGATAACCATGCTATAATCCACAGACCCAGAGACACTAGGTAACAAGAAGGGCCCAAGGCATGGATTTCCCTGGGGAAGGGAAATAGAAGAGATCTCTTGGGTAGCCTGGGGATGTGTGGGGATGGAAACATGAGGGATCACATTGGGGGGGATGGATGGAGAGGGAGAGTACTGAAAGATGTATCTTGATATGGGGGGCATTTGGGATCAGGTAGAAACCTGGTACCAGGGAAACTCCCATGAATCTACAAGGATGACACCAGCTACAAATTGTAGCAATAGTGGATAGGTAATCTGAACTGATCATCTCCTGTAATCAGATTGGTAAATACCCCATTTATCTTCCAAACAGTCTTCATTCAGTAACTGATGGAAACAGATTCAGAGACCCACAGTGAAGCACTGGGCCAAGCTTGGGAATCTTGTTGGAAGAAAGGAAGGAAGGATTGAAAGAGTCAGGGTTATCAAGTTCATCAAAAAGAAATCCATAGAAACAAGTAACCTGGACTCATAGACGCTCACAGAGTCTGGACTGACAGCTAAGGAGCCTGCGTGAGACCAAACTAGGGCTCTACTAGGGCTCTACGTTTGTGCGTCAGTTCTGTAACTTAGGCTCTTTGTGGGACTGCAAGCAGTGGGAACAGGAGCTGCCCCTAACACTTTGGCATATACTGGGTTGCCTTGCTCAGGCTTAATACAAGGGGAAGAGCTTAGTCCTGCCTCAACTTAATATACTGTGCTTTGTTAACATCCATGGGGCACCTTTCTGGACAAAAACAGAGAAGGTGTGGATGTGGGGGGTGGAAGAGAGTTGGGGAGGGAATGGGAGAAGAGGAGGGAAGAGAAACTTTGAACAGGATATAAAATAAAAGAATAAACTTAATTTTGAAACAAAGTTCCTGTTTTCACTGGCGTAATTATTTAGACTTCCCTCAGCATGAGTTTCCAATGGAAATTCCAATTCCTTTATGGACCACTGTTTTGATACTTTGGTAGCCAAGAGGAGGAAGTTGTGGGGATAAGGATGGTTGCATGTGCCCACTCATAATATTTTAATTTCTGCCATCTCCTTTCTAGAACTTTTTGGTGCTTTTGGAGAGCACTAATATAAATTAGTTTATCAGCAATGGACATCAGTACAGAAAATACTCAAATGAAAATAGAACTTTCATATAATACAGCTATACTGTCCCTGGGTGTTTACCAAAAGGAATCAGTCAAAATGCAATCAAAATGTCCGCATGCCCATGCCTTTTGCACTGCCGTTTATCACAACTGCCGTGCTAACCTTTCTTAGCAAGATATGGACAAAAGTGTGTCCACCCCAGATAGGGAATCAATAAGAGACCAAAGTATATTTGTGAGCATATTTGATTCTACCAAAGTTCAACTTGGTCAACCATAAAGTTTTCTGGTGTTACACAAAGGGCATGAATGAGGGGTTACCTAAAAGAGTATGAGGGATACCAAAACACCCGCTGTCAAGGACTGGCCTCGACAAAAATACTTCTTACCAGGGTAGGAGCGCGGGAATAGAAAAATTATATGAAGCCGCATAAAAATGATAGGACAGAAAACAAAAGACAGTATTGGGAGGGTATTTCAGGTATTACTCTGTCCCTGAAATCACCCACGTTTATTTTTCCACAGCTTTTATACCCAATGTAACTAGAGGAGAAGGTAACAAAAAGCTTCATTAACATGATGCAAAAGATTAACTCACACAGTCAACTCTGAGAGATCCAGTCAGCAGAATTCTGTTGCCTAGGTGATGAGGTACCCCAAGTCACACACACTGAGCCCTGTACACTAAACACTGCCCTTCCCCAGGTGACCTCAGAGTTACAATGGGAGGATCAGAAGTATATTTGCATATCCTGACTACCCGCTGTCAGGAGGGCACTGAGCTATCTTAACTCCAAAAGGGTATTAGTCAGATGAAAATTTCTGTTGTGCAATTGTACACAGTTGGAACTCAAAGGCTAGAGCTTGATGAAAACTGTCCTGCCTGGTAGTAGTCGTCATGTGAATATCTCCATGGAAGAGAGAGACAATTACTCATTCCTCTTAACTTTGTGTTCCCAGACCTACTGTACTGTAGTAAATCATCAGTAGTTATTTTTAAAGTATTGCTAATCTTTTAAAATAATTTGAGTTTTGTAAATATTTCTCCATATGGATATATACTTTGTGTAAGCAACCTAAGTGGAAACATTTAGTAGAAACTCCTCACTTCTTCAAGAAGAAGAACTAAAGAGGTTCTTACATATTCTTGCTAAAAAATAGATAGATGATAGATAGAAAGATAGATAGATAGATAGATAGATAGATAGATAGATAGATAGATAGATAGATAGATAGAAGGATGGATGGATAGATGGATAGATAGATAGATAGATAGATAGATAGATAGATAGATAGATAGATAGATGGATAGATAGATAGATGGATAGATAAACAAGGACAGTCATACAGCAAAGAGCTGCTACCTTCTAACCCTACTGTAACCCAAATACAGGAAGATAAAAGGCCTTTCCCAAACAAAACACATATATTTCAAAAATAACATGTAACTGGCATTTTTCTTGCCTATTCCCCAAACCATTTAGTAATTCTTTATACTTTAAGAAAAACTATTAATAAAAAGAACTTGCTTTTTAACTTTAAAAGGGGTGGGAGAGTCAGGCAATCACCTCCTGAGTTAGAAGGTGTCATTAAGCCTGTTTGTCCCCAGACTCTGACAGTCAGACAAGGTAAAAATGAGCTTGCATTTTCTGGCCTCCACACGGCTGTACTGATGCATATTTTCAGCCTGATATTACTTTGATCTCCTCAGAAAACGTTTTCCTGTTCCAAGTGCTGGAGGCTAATCAAAAGTTTCTGGTACTCAGGTGGATGAAGAGCAAGACAACAATTTTCTTGTGACTTTATTGTTGCAAAAGCTTTAGTAGGATGATAAGAGAACAAGATAAAGACACACACACATATTGACTCCAGTATCAGCCACATCACTAAGTAACTATCTGACCTAAGAGGTTCACATTACCTTTATCTGCTTCAGTTTATAAGAAAAGAATAATACTCATATTTTAACATGCCATATCAAGTGTAGGAGATACAGTAGACACATCAAATACTCTACAAATGCTCTTGTTGATCTCAGAAGGAATTATCTGTGTTTATTTATTCTTTGATAGCCCCATTAATCTTTCATAGGCAAAACCTTTTATATTCCATCAATTATTCTTTGAGATAAAACTCTTACTAACTTCCTATATAATCATCATTCTTTATAATACTCATTATTTTGATGGTCTCACATCTGCACTTCTGATAGTGAATTATTTGCCCTTTTTCTTGAGATAAAATGTTGCTGCTATTGATACTATGTCAAGAGGATGAACTTTGGTAGAACACGGGAACAATTTTACTAATGGATTCCCCTTGGGCAGAAAAGGAATCCATTAGTCAAATTTTGTTGTGATCCAGCTGCCCTCACTCCCCCTGACTGACAGTGGAACTTCCTTGTGGTCTGTAATTGACAAGGTTCTTTGTGTTCTTTCTGGCCAGTAGGTCTCCACAGAAGGAGTAGAGGTATAAAAGGTTGCTGGGCAAAATAAAGGTTGCTGTTCTTCCACCTGAAAAGAAGCCTCCGTGTCTCAATCCCGGCACCCCCTGCCAGTCTTGTTTATTTTGTTTTATTGATTTTTGTTTTTATTTCTGGTTTGGCTTATATAGTCAGAGCTGGTCAGGCCAACACAGCCAGAGACAGGAGAAGCAGACTACTGGGTGTGGGATCTTATTTCCACATTCATCATTACTCTGTAATGAGGTCATCTTGCAAATGAACATGACACACTGTAGAGCATTAAGATTACCTGTACATGAATTCTAACAATCAACTTTTTTTTTGTTGTAGGTTTTTAAGTTAACAAGAACTAAGAAAGTAGAAGGGAAGTTTCAGAGAGTTAGGGACCCATAATTACATTGATGGGTCACTTTAACTTTTAAGCACACATTTCTCTTGATCAAAAAATTAAATACCATGAGACATAATACTAAAAAATAAACTCGTTTTCAAGAAAATTTTCTAAAGAGGATATTTTAGGCAGTATTTAGGTCCTTTAGTCAGTATATATAAAAATCCTTATGTTTATATCGGTAGAGCTGTTCTGATTTTTAGATGTTAGCACAGACACCCAAAGAACCTTGAGGTCTCACATAACCTGGGCCTAATCACATGCAATTAGCTGAGGGGAGTGAATGAATATTTGGGAAAGGTTCACCGGTAACCTTGTCTATTCCTCCTTATTTGAAGGAAAATGAACATGTAACAAGTTTAGTGGTAATTATGTTAAGCAGGCATAGTTGAAGTTCTGAAGATGGCTATTCTCTGTTTAGAAGATATTGCGCAACATCACCTTACTACAAGAAGGTTGAATTCTAGTAGCACACATGAGTGATGCATTGAACTAATATTACCTGTGTATATATTGTAAAACTACTAGGCCTTGTAAGTTTTCAGGCAAACCTTACAGAAAACATAAGACAGCCTTATAATGTATGGAGTATATAATTTCTTTTATTAAAATCGTTATTAAATTCATATTTACATCAATGACAGAATTTAGCTAAGGGAGCCCTGTTGAAACTATGATGCTGGAGTTATGATAGAGAGACTTTAGACACATGGTTTTTGTATCAAGGGAGCTTCTTTTGGCAGCACACAGAGACCATTATAGAAAGCCACAGCTGGTCACAATGCAGAGAACAGCTGACTGTGGGGGCGGTCATCCCCAGAACACATATATAACACACCTTGTAATGGCTTGTTTCCTTATTCCCTCATTCTTTATTTCCTCTCAAAAGACTTGTATACTAAATGTCAATCAGAATTGAAGAGAGGAGAAGAAAGGGTTGCCAAAGCAAAGGAAGAGTGATTGTTGGAAGTTTCATTCACAATTCTTTGTTATATAATTTTTGGATGGGAAGGAGACTCACACTTTATACCATCTTCAGTGAAATTGGCAAAAAAGGAGACAAGATTCTTGGGTGGAAATTTGCACCAGGAGTCACAGTGAATTGCTCTACAAAGTACCTGGTTCATTGTGGTTCCATGACACTTGCTGGGACCCATTGCATCCGTGGGGATAAGAGAGGCCCCCATATTTTTTTTAATATTATTATAATCATTGCATCAAGATCAGGTGGGCCATGCTCTAAATGACTCTTTACTCTGTAAACAGTGGCCTATCAGGCCATGCCTTGCTTGGAGATATTCCATTTGACTGCACTTTGAGGATGGAAGACGACAGTGCATGTGAATTAACACAGGAGCAGATTCACCAGCAGTGCACTACCCATGCAGCACAAAACAACTCAGTCCCAAGAACAGAAAATGATGTATGAATGTATTATGGTGTCGTTATTCTCCCACAGGCATGATGGTATGCGCCCTATAAATTTAATAGGGTGAATTTGGACTGAAGGGGCACATATGTATATCAAAATCACACCCAAAAAACAAAGCAATGTGAGATAAGACTTGGAGATTTTTTTTCTTGGTAAAAGTTCCACAGTGAAGCTCAAAGACAGATCTCTAGTTAGGATCATTTAATAACACTGTGCATAAAAAGACAGGGTCTCAGGTTTGGATCTTGAGAGCAACAGTAGCCCATAAGACTAAGAAAATCCCTTGCTTGTGTGAATTGTTCAAGTGCTAATGAGAAATGATCTCTAAGGTAATATTTGGCTCATGGTGTAAGCTACAGATGCTTGGGCGTGGGATGGGGGAGATAAGTAAGTGTGCAGAGCTACTATAACTGCCTTACTTCACTTCTGTCCTTGGGAACCTCAGGCTATTGCAGTCAAAAGCTTCCTTGATATAATAGTTTATTGTGTTGCTCCAGAATCTCTGGAATCTTGAGGACCAAAAAATTTGGGGCATGATAGCTACTTTATTAGCAGTTTTCTTGCTTTAATTGTAAGTAAATTAAACCCTTCCTGTCAATGTTATTAGACATACTTTATAATCATTAACTGACCTCACTGATCATGCTCAGGAAGAATTTTTCCATTTATCATGCCCTGTTGAAAAATTCACTGCTGGGGCTTAGTGAATTCTGGCTAATAATTGGAACCACCTAAGGTTAAACCCCAGTTGGAAATGACATTCACACCCAACACAGCCAGGTCCTATGTGAGAATGTCTGTAGGAATAAATGTCTCATGGAGGACTCGAGGCAAGAAGTTACTGCAGAAACAGAAAATTATTCCAATTTGTCTTCAAATCTGCTTCCAGGATTTGCTTTCCTATGATTATACTCTACCATGTCTTGGGTCATAGGTTACATACAACTTCTATATGTAAATCATAGAAACTGCTTCCCCAGCACTTGCCTAGCCTGCCCGCTGTTCGTTATCCTGCCTGCTGACCTCCAAGAGGTCCATTCAGAGGCAGAGCAATACAATGCAGCAGCAGACCTAGCCAGTGGAAGAGCCTACTTGGACACCCTCCCTTTTGCACCCTATAGATGAACTATGTCCACAGGCTAGAAGAAGCAAATGCACATCAATGAAAGAAGAAATGAGGGGGCAAAGTAAAGATTACATTTATGATAGTTTTTGTGATTTCCATATCAATTTAATCCACTATTTCTCATGTTCCCTACAAGCATTTTCTTTACTGGAGGAATCATCTTTCTCTCAAAGTCTTAGGTGAAAAGAGTAATTGAGCTCATAAATGGCTTTCTACTTATGAATCCATAATTGGATTCAATCACTTTAGTCTCATTATACCTACTTCCCTGGTCACCTTCATCCTATCCCCTCAAATGTGAGGAGGCACCAGTGTCTTCCAAGCAGATACCATCTCTTCATACTTTCCTTTCTCAACATCACAGCCTAGGAACTGCACAGAGGCGGTGACTGATGGGTGAAAGGGTAACAGACATTCTGAACTGCAGGCTCAGCTTCTCATTGGCTGGGGGCTTGAAGGTAAATTTTTGAATAAGGGAAGTGATAAAAATGAACAGCTCAGACCTGGCCAATTGCTCTCCAAGACAAGCTCGTTTTCCTGTAAGACAAAAACAGCAGAATTTATTCAGCTGCCACCGTTACGTCACTAACTATCTTTTGCAAAGTTTGTATGAATTCTGGGATTGGGATTCAGTTGCATCAATGCATTTGTGTTTAGCATCTGCCTTGTGTCCCCAAAACATCAAAGGTAAAAGTGCAGGATCACAAATCTCATGGTCTCAGAAAACAGGCAGTGCTCGAGAAGCACAGCATAGGACAATAGGAGTAAAACCTGAGCTAGTTGTATGACTAGCGTAAGTGCTTCCCAAAGTCACTTAACAAACATAAATGATAAAAATAGATAATGGCGCAACAACAACAAAAAAAATCATGAGATGTTTTTCAACTTATAAAAGGAAAGAGAAAAATGCAAGCAGGTATTTCAGCAGGGGTCTTAATGCACAAATCAACTTGCACCTAAGCCCACCGTCCCCCTTCACCTTGAGTGGCATTAGTAATAGATGGCTTCCACAGCTCTATCTGGTGCCACTCAAATGCCTCTCTAGGCTATCGTTGCTCTCTTTCCTAAAGGAGGGTCTACAACTAACCCACTTCCCTGCAGTGAACCATATAGTCTCGATCATCATTTCTCTTATTGTATTTCAATAAGAGAAATCATCGTTTCTCTTATTGAGAATAATTAGCATTATTCTCTTAATGCTAGTAAATTCCTTCCTCTATTTCTTTTTCTTCCATGATTTTTTAATTGAAAATAGACTTTTTCATATATTATTTTCTGATTATGGTTTCCCCTCACTCAGCTCCACTGAGCTCCTCTCCAAATCCCCACTCAGCCAAATCTCTACATCTTCTTTCTTTTTCTCATTAGATTAAGAATAGTTATTAAACTAGTAATAATTATAATAATAATAAATAATAAAATAAAACCAAGCCAGAATAAGACAAAACAAACACTTAAGTGCTATGCATTCACTATAAAATCTGCACAATAGGAAATATATGAACAAGAGAATAGAAGCTGTTTATAACTCCACAGTCCAGGCAGAACCATGAGCATGACGATATGCATGCCAGGGTTGTCATCAGGATTGTGTTGAACATTGTTAGAACCATTATCTCATTCAACTCTTTAAGATGCTTTTGCTACTTTGTTTTACTCAGGAAACTAATTGACATTCCCAAACTGATGACCAGTTCATGCTTCTGGTGGGCTCCACCATCCACAGATTGCTGAAGGAACAAATGCAGATATTACAGGCAAAAGTGTTCAGTAACTGTGTGTTGCCACAGTGCTGGCACCATAGTATGTGGATGTGTGTCCCATCAATGTGTTTCACTCATCGTTTCTGCTCCCTTCATCTTCATCCTGTTAAGTATGTCTAGGCATATGACTGGTAACTTGATAAAATGGAACTGAATCAGCTCTGTTGTAAATTCTCAAGATTCTTCAAGAATTCTTCTATCAGGACAAAACTTGATCTGTAATGTCAGGAACCCATACTCCTTATTCAACCCTTGTTCAATCAAGGACCACTATGTGACTACAACTAACCCACCCATTTTTCACAGGGCTAAATCTTTTTCACATGACAAATACACAATGAGTCCTGTTTCTTACACAGATTCCATGGCTGGGCAGTCATCAAAATTAGCCAACAGGAACCTACATGCTTTAAAGGATGAAAACAATGGGCATTCAATATGAAAGCATTGGATTAAACTAAAGAACAAGTCCAAGATTAGGGGTCAGAACAAACCTGTCCTCCCTTGAAGCTCTTTATGTCGGGTGCTGTGTGACAGTGACAGACATAGACAGCTGTGACAGTGACGGACAGCTGTGACAGTTATAGACAGCTGTGACAGTTATAGACAGCTGTGACAGTGACAGACAGCTGTGACAATGATACACAGCTATGACAATGATGGACAGCTGTGACAGTGACAGACAGCTGTGACAATGATACACAGCTATGACAATGATACACAGCTGTGACAGTGACGGACAGCTGTGACAATGATACACAGCTATGACAATGATGGACAGCTGTGACAGTGACAGACAGCTGTGACAGTAATGGACAGCTGTGACAGTTATAGACAGCTGTGACAGTGATGGACAGCTGTGGCAGTTATAGACAGCTGTGACAGTGATGGACAGCTGTGACAATGATACACAGCTATGGCAGTGATGGACAGCAGTGACAGTGACAAACAGCTGTGATAGTGACGGACAGCTGTGACAATGATACACAGCTATGACAGTGACGGACAGCTATGACAATGATACACAGCTATGACAGTGACGGACAGCTGTGACAGTGACAGACAGCTGTGACAGTGACAGACAGCTGTGACTGTGATAGACAGCTGACTACCATTTCCTGATTTAGGCTGTGCTTGGGTCATCTTCACATGGAAAAACACATGAATTGCCTTAATACTAAAATGACAGAAATTACCTAGGCTTTTGGTAGTTTTTCATGCCTAGCTTTTGTAAGTCAGTGACTTGATTTATTAAGAAACAAAAGACCATGCTAGCATGAAACTGCCAGTGCTCTGCTCTATAAACAAGTAGGGCTTGGTTCAGGAATGACTGTGCCATCTGTGTTGGTAATACACAGGCTACAGCTCTACTTATTTTTGCCAAGAAAAAAGAAGCTGATGTCTGAATTTCCTTCTTCCAGGGAGGCTGAATACAGAAAGAGTAGAGAGAGGAGAGGTAAAGTTACAGTAAAGCAGAAACACCCACAGCTCTTGGCACAGCTAATCCAATAGGCATTTTAGATTTCTACATTCTGCCCAGTGTAACTGGTTTTCATTATGGCACCACTTGTGTGGGCATCCTCAGGAGAATTGAATTTTATTCCCCTTTATCAGAAAGAAATGATGAAAGCAATGCAGAGCTCATCGCTCTCATCCATGGGGTCCATATTATGTGTACTGGTACTTCAATGCTGTTCCAATCAAAGACTGCAATCGTTTCCCTCCCCTTGAGTTGGGGTTGGTCTTGAGGCTTGACTAGGTCATCAGAATACAGTGAAGTCATGGTGTGACAATTCCCAGGCTGGAGCTCAACAGAATTGTGCATTTTTGTAATCCCTCCTAGGATATTATGACTAATTTATAAACAGACAGCTGGTTTGCCCAAGGGAAATAGATACCATAGAAACAACACAGCAGCAGCATAGAATTATATGGTGGAGAGCAGGGAAAGACTAGGGAGGAGCTCGGAACTCTCTCCTGCTCACCACAACTCACCCATTGAGAACGGCAGAAAAGCCTCTCTCTTCTTAAACTCTCCATTTTCCAGAAAGTGCTCTGGGTTGAAGACATCTGGAGTGGCCCACTCTTTGGGGTCCCTGTGCAATGCGGTTAGGTTGGTCAGGACCATGATTCCCTAGAAAAAGCAGCAGAAAGTAAAGATTTAATAAAAACTCCCACATGGACAGATGATGATGCTCTAATTCTCATTCCTGGCCTGGGGTACTTGGCATCCTGAATTTTCATACTCTCCCCAACTGATTCGCTGTCACTTGGAATACTCCAGCCATTTGCAAAGGTAGTTGGACCATGCTTTATTAAAGAATATGTCTACTTTACCAAAAGTGGCTAATATAGGTCTGAGAAGAGGACCTGAGAGCACCCATGAGGAGATGATGAGACATTGTTCATTGCAGATAGGATCATGGCAGCTGTATGATACAATGTCCTGGTCATCTAGTCTTCTCCATTATTTTCTATATATTATCAAAGAGACAACAGCCTAGCTCACTACAGTCAAAGATGCAGGGATGTATCAGAAAGCGTTCCTGTTATGGCAGATACACCACACATTACCCAGAGTCACCGGAGTGAGCCTTCCGCTCTCCTTGCTCAATCATCAGCAAAGCTGGTCCACTCTCGAATCCATCACCTCCATTCCGGTTTCCACTGAAACCTTAGTGCAGGCTCCATATCCTCCTCTTGCAACCACCTAATAGCTATGACTGTGTTCCAGTTTGAAGGCTGAGTGGGCTCTGCATATGACTTAGTGACATAGCCCACTCACTCACTCCAACTTGGAAAGCCGGTTACTCATATTCTTAAATCAAAGATCCATCCTGTGTACTTTCAGAGCCACTGTTTGTTGTTGCCCTCTGACTGGGCTCCCACTAGAACAGTCTTCCCTTATGATCCATGTTGCAATGCTGATTGCTTTAGATGGAGTATTCCTTTGCATATTGACACATAGCTAATTCTTAACTCTCCTTCAATCCTCAGTTCCAATACCTCTTTCCCCAGAAACACTCACTGATTCCTGAACTTGCTACTCCTCTCTCCATCTTGTCAGTATCACAGGGAAACAGAATGTTTTCTTTCCAACAGCGCTTGTGGTTTATAGTAGGGACTCCCTTGACTCAGGTATCCCAACTCCGGACCCAAACCTTGCAGGTATTTAAAGAATATTCTCTTGATTAATAAGGAATAACTTCTATTCTGAGTATAAGGTTTTGCTTATAAAGTATAATAATACTTTTATTATTTGCATATAAGTATAATAATATGTAATCTTATTATATTTCCATAGGGAGTCTATGACTATGGGGTTTTTTATGGTTTTTTTTTCTTTTACATTTTGTAGATGTTGAAGCTGTGATTGGTTAGGAGACATGTTTGTCCAGTAAGAGTAAGGAAAGTCATCACTGAAAACAGGCCTATCTTCTGTTAAGGCCATGGTTTCCCATATCTGTTGAACACAGTCATTTAGATTTATCAATACCCAAGGAACTGATGTTATAGTATGTGGAAAGAGTTAGTATGGCTGTCTGAAAATGAATGAATGGACAGAAAAAAAGCAAACAGCATTGGAAAACTTCAGACCTCAACTTCAAGCCATGAACTGTTGTTCACTAATAAGAACAGTAAACACTCTGCCTCATCAGCAAACGTCCTCTGCTAGAATTAGACCAGCAGTACGCTGAGGAGTCCCATAGAAAACAAGGTCAGGTCTGGCCAAAGCACACACCATCTAGGAATCTTCCCTTTTCAACTCTTTATAATAGATTTGAAAGTCCACTAATACACATGAAGGATTTGGCAGAAATATACTTTTTCCCCCACTGAAACCATTTCTTGGGTCAGGAATACATGTCACTTTTTACATTTAGGCTCCCAAGATGATGCCAAAGATTAACTAGAGGATCTGAAGGTGAGAGAGTGTTACCTTTGGCAGGTCAAATCCAGCCAACTTGGTGGCAGCTGCCCCTTCCCTGGGAACATTAAAGGGAATGATGTTTCCCATCCTCTGCACCTCGTGGATGACAGCATTGGTGTAGGGCATGGACTCTCGGTCGGCCAGGCTTGGCTGTCTTCCTTGACCAATCACTCTGTCAATCTCAGCCTGTACTTTTTCTGAAAGGAAACAGGAGATTCTCTTACCTTTTCAACTTTAATGCTTTCTTCTAAAGATATAGAAGTTGTCTCTGAGACCTTACCTGATTTTATTTCACCTTAGCACTCTGGTTATTAAGAAATAAAAGTTTTCTCAACCCTTCAAGTACCTGTTTTAGAAAACTGTCAATTCAACAACTTTCTTTGAGTTTACAACATGATCATAAATTTCCATGTGTTCTGAGCTGAGTATCTCAGATGAACACAGGTAAACGCACATAGCAGTATCTAGTCAGGGATTCTACAAATAGGCACCATGCAGAGTGGGTGACAAACCACACAAATGTATTCCTCATAGTTCGAGAGTCTGGAACTTCTGAGACCAAGGCACTAGCAGTTTTCTTGCCTGGGAGATAATTTTCTGACTCTTAGGTGCCAAACATCTACTGTGCCTCATGCTTTAAAGACCCATGAATGTCTTTAGTAAGGACTAGCTCTCTTCACAAGAGCCAATCACCTCCTGCACGAGATAGAGCTGAACATGAGCGTGGCAAATAGGACACAAAGGTACAAAATATAGAATACCTGCAATTCCTATTTTCTTAGGTAGATATAACAGCATGGGCTGTAGACAGCAGTGTGTTGCTGAACAACATTGATGGTGAAGATGCTTACATTCTTTGAGCGTCAGCTTTACCATGTGATTAGTTAGAATAAGTCTGCCTTATTCTAAGGATGTTTTGAGATTTATACGAACTGTTATAATAATAACTGTTTGATTCTCAACCTGTCTGCCAGTATGGTGGTTTCTCTTTTTCAAGAGTAATAGAGATTAAGCTAATTTTATCTGATTGGTTAGCTACACATTTCATTTAAAATGAATTTGGAACACCAAAGCCCCTTACTATTACCCTACATGTAAAAATTTCACATAAAATGTATATAATATAAAATTTATCATTATTACTATGGTGATTTTGAGGAAAGATTTTTTTGTGTGGCCAGGATTATTTTAAATTCTCAATGCAACTATCTGAAACCTGTCAAAAATTGAGCTTAATGGTGTAGGCCACCAATCATAGCTCTTCAGCCATTTTTGTATGAGTAATTCACTAGCTTTTAGTATGTTCATACTGTTGTACATGCTTATTGCTGGAACTTCGTGGTACAAAAAAGTTGCTATCCATGTTACAAAAACTGATTCCCCCTCCCTGCATTCTCCCTTCTGTGTGCACAATTTGACTATTGTTTCAGTTAGTACAGTATTTGCAATTTTGTGATCATCTATTTTAACTTAGCACAGTACCTGAATTGGTGCAGCATCATAATTCCTTTTCAGGGGCTGGAGGACTGCTCAGTGGTTACAATCCCTGCCTCTAGGAATCTCAGAATGAAACTGACTGAGAGCTGTCTCCTCCCATCTTATACTCCTCTCTAGGGCTGGGACTAAAGGCGTGCACCACTACTGCCCGGTGTCTATGGCAAACTGGAATTAAAGGGGTGTGTCACCACTGCCTGATCTGTAAGGCTGACCAGGGCAGCTGTTTTACTCTCTGACCTCTGGCAAGCTTTATTTATTAAAATACAAATGAAATGTCCCTACAGCACAGTATCCAAGGCAAACAGGAATGTATTGCTGAGAAAAAAGAAGGACATGTGTAGATGCTCCTAAGGTAATGCCATTCTTCGCTGGAACTGACCACAATGTGTCTTGGTTTCTCTGTCTTGTTTTAAACTTTCTGCTTCTTGAGCACACAAACGCTATACTATTGGTACTGCTGTGCCCTTCCCAATCCCGACAGAACAGGTGGAGGATGTGCTCCATCCCAAGTGCACACAAACGCTATAATATTGATACTGCTGTGCACTTCCCAATCCCGACAAAACAGGTGGAGGATGTGCTCCATCCCAAGTGCACATCAACTCACAGCCATTCTGTCTTCCCCCCACCCACCATGCCTTCAGGTCCCACCTGAGCCACAGATCTGAGATGCCCCAATCCACATTTTCCTGGTGCATTCACCCCATATTCACCTTGGACTTCTGGGTAGAGAGCCATGTAGAGCAGAGCCCAGCGCAGGGTCGTGGATGTTGTCTCTGTTCCAGCAAAGAAGAGGTCCAGAGTGGTGGTGATGAGGTTCTCTTCATTGAAACTTGTAGTCTTCTCTGGGTACTGGAAAAGACAGTGTGTATGTATATATTCCAAGGGTCTCAGTCAAGACCTTAGGGTATGAATTTGGAATGATTCATATAAAGTAATAATCCCATTGACCATATCAGGAAGCATTTCTGCCCTGAGTGCTGCAAGGTGATGACCAAAACCTTATGGCACTTGGGTGGATGACAAATCTCAACTATTTTTCTTTTGATTATATTTTTGGAAACTTTTTGTCCAGTGATAAGAAAATGAGATAAAAATCATCTTTTTCTTTTAGTATCAGCCCCATCTCTAAATGACAACTTGGCCTAGGGCACACACCTAACATTTCGTTTCTTCAGTTTTATAAAATGAGAATAAGAACCACACCTTAACATGTCATTATCAGTCATTTGAGACACCACAGGCACACAGTCAACACTCGACAGATGCTTTTGCTTATACCAGAAAGAATCAAGTAACTCTTGGCGATCTCTGACTCTCTGATCTCACCACTCACCTTTCTTAGTCAAGACTTTATGATCTCATGATTTTTTATGGCATATCCTCTGGAAGAATAAATCTGTTAAGACTGATTTTTAATACTGATGGCCTAACACCTGATTATGATAAGGAATTATTCACCTCTTTCTCTGAAGAAAAAAACACAGCTTTTATCAATATTATTTAAGTAAAATGAAATGAGAGGATGAAAAAAATTACTATTCTGCCCTTGTTCAGAGGAAGAGCACTGATCCAGTGATGTGTTCCAGTAAGAGGCCTAGTGAGATCCAGGCTGTATATTTTATAATATGGTTTGAAACCGAAATGAAAATTAGGAATTACTACAAGCCCACTTTTTGAATGCTTGGCTCATAATTGTCTGAAGTATTTTTGAAGGTTCTATACTATTGGAAAAGGGGGAAGGACCTAACTGGAGAAAGTGACTGCTAGGGGCAGCACTCTTACGGTTATATTTGAGTGCTGGATCTTGCCTTGGACTCTCATCCTAAAGCAGAATTATGTGAATCGACTTCACCATAGGAATTTGTCACCATTCCTTTGCCATGGTGAAGGACCCAACTCTAATATGGTGAGTGGAAACAAATCTCTCCTGTGTTGACTTGGTCAGGTACTATCACAATGATACACAAGTAACACACAAACCCAACTGGTTGCTGTCTGGCCTCTTGTGTATTATTGGGTGCCTTTTATGTGGATTCAGGAAGCCTCATCTATATGTTAAAGTCAGGCTCTTGCATTCAACTGTGCATTGCTTATATCTTGCATTGGTGAATGAGATACAATCAATTACTGACCCTAAACCAACTTGTAACAAAATTCGACTCTGAAGTTGAATTGTTATTTTCATTTATGAGACAGTTCATTCACATCTGGCTAAAAGCCAAGAGAGAAACAGAAAGATAATATCTGGCATTATCATTGCCTCCTGCCAAGACTATGAACTTTATTTCTAATGACTCTAACAATCCTGAATTAATGTTATACTATTCTTGATAAGTACTATACTCTTTTCATCTGATTTTCCTGTAGGGTATCAAACAATGATCCTGGGAGACATCCATCTGTTCAGCTCTATTTTGTGCTTAATACTCCATAATAAACTTTCTGTATGTGATTAGTTTTGAAAAGGAAGGTTACACAGAGTTGTTATTATAAGATGGAGATCAAGGTTCAGAAGCAAAGAGATGAGATATAAAGAGTGAAGCAGTGATCAGGGAGAAATAGACATTACAGTCTTGACATTGAAGATGAAGGAAGGAGAGAAGGCAAAAGGTATCTGTACCCAGTAGAATCTGGAAAAGGCAAAGTAATGAGTTCTCACTATTTCCACATGAAGCTTGCCTGGCCAACAGGCATACAGGGCACACGCAGAACTATGAGGGAACACATTTGTGTTATGTCAAACCAATAAGATGAAGAACACAGGCTGCAGAATCACCTGGAAACTACTAAATTGCTGCTTCCTCTGCAAGAAGAAGACAACATAGCCGGCATCTTCCCCACCTTTGTCATTTCTGTGAGGAAAGCGTCAATGAAGTCTCTCGGCTCATCAGGGTTCCAGTCTCTCCGGTGATTGTCAACTATATCAGAAACAAACAGTTTCAGCTTTCCCCAGTTTCTGAAAAGTGTTCGGTGCGATCCAGGCAGATAATGAATTATCCTCGGAAAGATATTGTAGAGCTGATTGGGAAAAATAAGACAGTCATGGAGATGCCATGGTGCCACATGTCAAAACACGCTTGTCCTTCCCTTTATTTCTTACAGTGAAGCCACCTTGACTCCTGGTTCACTCTTACTCCATACCCGCACCCGCCACAGGCATTTCAATTTTGAACTTTAACACCGGACATTGAATTGCAGAAGAGGCTCTAATTATAAGAGGCATAATCAAAAGAGACCATATAAACCAATTAGTTGTACATGATCTTGTTAAAATTGAAACAAACTAAATTAAGGTAGAAAACAACTCAGAACTGTGTGCTAAAAATCTGTGACTTTAGGGAGGGTAAAAAGATGTGTCCTACACCACAGGAGAACCTACAGAATAAACTAACTGGGCACACAGGGGATCACAGAGACTGAACCAACAACCAGGGAGCTTGAATGTGACTGACCTAGGCCATCTGCACATCTGTTACAGGTGTGAAGCTTGGTCTCTTAGTGGGATTCCTAACAGCAGGGGAAGGGGCTGTGTCTGACTCTATTGCCTGCTTTTGGGACCCTTTGTCCCCACTGACTTGCCCTTTCCAGTCTTAAAAGGAGAGGAGCTGCCTAGTCTTACTGAAACTTGCTATGCCAAGGCTAGCCAATATACAGCAGGGGCTCCTACTACATAAACAAGAAAAATGGCAGCTATGCTATGAAGACAGTTCTGGTAGACATCAGACTCCACAATAGCACAAAACAAAGAGCCAGCAAAAGCCCGTGAATTCACTTGTCCTCCTCCATTATGTATTTAAATTGCAGTCTTTACTTTTTGAAGACCTGCAAAGCTGATCGAATGTTTTTTTCTTTTTCTGTGTGATTCATTATTTTTCTACACATTTAGCAAAATTTTTGCTTTATTTTCACTTAAAAATTTTAAGATAAAATATCTTCACCTTTATTTACATGCATATTTATTTGCTTGTGTGTACGTGTGTGTGTGTGTGTGTGTGTGTGTGTGTACACCTCTGCTCTTGTGTCATGGTATATACGTGGATGATAGAGGACAACTTGAGGAAGGTAGCTCTGTCATTCCACCCTGTGAACTTTCAGGATAGAGCTCACATCATCAGGCTTCCCAGATGTGCTTTTATCAGCAAGGCCACCTTACTCACCACATTTGCTATTCTGTGTCACCCATTCCTCTAGTTATGTTTATGTCTCGCCTCAGTTTTAGCAATAGAATTTTTTTCTTTAGCTTTTTGCTTATTTGCATTTTATATTATTTTTCCATTTATATCTTGAATTTATCTTGACTTTAAAAAATAATACATTCTAATTTTTTTAGTATTCTTCTTACATTGACTTTTGAACTTTTTCTTTACTATTGCTAAGTCTATTTTTGTCTCCCCCTTGCATTTCAGCCTTTTCCTGCGTGTAACATTCTTTTATTTTCCATCCTTCCCCTTTAAATTATTTCACTTTATTTTTGTGCCCCACTTCCTGGATACCTTCAGCTATCTCGTTCATTTCCTATTTTAACACTACATTAAATAGTTTTGAAACTGCACAGCACACTCACTATTTTGATATTGTTTCAGCTCTGTGGACATTGATGATATGTTGAAGACCAGCAGTTGAGTTTATGTGTTTTTATATTTTGCAAGACATGAAGTTGGTGCTGCTACAACGGTTTTTTTTTTCCTCACAGGATGGTACTACGGATTACACTGTAACAACTAGGTAGCTCTATTAGAAGATCCTCTGAAAAAATCCAGAAATAATATCCAAACCCACAGCTGCAAAACTGCAACACAGACATACAAGAAACATGGAAAATCAAGGCAACAAGACACCTGCATTTACAGGTCAGAAATTAAAAGGGAGATCTTGAGAGGAAAAGAAAAGAGTAGAAGAGAACTTTGGGCGCAGGGAGTGAAAACAGAATTCAAGTAAAGAAGGACAATTAGTACAACTGATGGGAAAGCAGAGTTGAGAATAACTGGGGAAGATGGGGAAAAGCTGGGTTGGGGAAAGGAAGCAATAAGAATAGTATAGTGGTTCGTGTATGAAGATATCATGATGATACCCTTTGACATCTAAATTAATGTAGAAAAAAACACTTTAAAAACTATAAAACTGATAGAACTGCAACTGACAGAGATAAGTCTATGGCTTTAGTAGGGAAGGATAGCACATCAGATGCTCTAACCAGCACGGTAGTAATAGAGATGTCTGTAATTTGCTGCATAACTCCAGGTCAGAGACAGTAGTGGGACACTAGTGTAAGTAAAGTGTGACTGGTTGTGTGCTGACAGTTTTTGGACCTGATTTATACATGCACAGTAGATTATAATTATATTTCTTACCATTACATAATTTTGCAGTTTGCAAAATTAAAGTGCCCTTTACTTAACTGAAACAATTTAACATTTTAACAATGACATGTAACTGATGCATGGACAAATTAATGCATCAAGAACACTTCACTTAACTAAGTACAAATTTGTATACTACCTCACAAAGTTTTATATCAAGGCAACAGCAATGACTTCTAGGAAGTCCTTAGGAATTAACTTGCCTTTAAAGCTGTCTTCCATATTTAGGAATAAGCCTGAGAGACCAGTAAGCTGTGGAAAAAATACTTAGAAGACCCAAGGATTGAAGGAACAAAAATTTGAATATAGATTTCGTAAGCTGGGGGGTAAAGTTTGAACACCAAGTGTTTATTGCAATGTAAAATTAGGAATCTATTTGAACTTTTAGTCAATTTTTATGTATAGATGCAAATTTTACACAAATGAGTGAATGGGTTCACATGAACACTTGATCCAGAATATATGCTGCAATGTTACTAACATCACAAGTCTGGAAAGAACTCAAAATCCCAAAACAAGGGAAATGAATTATTAAGACAGTCACACATTTTGCCAACCCTATTCCCAGTGAACAAAAAGCAGTACATTAAGCAGCATATTAAGTGAGTAAGCTGAGCTGGTAAGTAGCCAGCACCAGCATTCACAGATACATGGGCATCCTACAAATGTTGGTACTTCATTTAAGTATTAGAAATGTGGCTATTCTCATACAAGAGTTTTGCATATTATCAACAACTCTGAAACCAACAGATAGATTTGAATACATTTGTGCTAAATTCAACTTTCAGATACTTGTTTTAACTTCAAAAGTCCTAAAATACAAAAAGGAGGAGTCTGTTTGAATTAGTCCCACGTTAATACTCTTCTCAAGATACGAGAGGGTAGCATGCTTACGTGGCACATCAGTGATGACTCCAAACACATGACCTCATCCAGTAGCCTCAGCATCTCCTGAAATCGACTATCCTGGTACTCAAAGCGCTCCCCGAAGGTGATAGAGCAAATGATATTGGAAACTGCATTATTGATATTGAAGTGAGGGTCAAAAGGCTGGCCTGGAGTGGAAAGGGAGCTGGGTTGTTTAAAGATATTTATTTTTATATTGTCTATAAGAAATTAACTCCAAATAATAAAACAATCCTTGTGCTTCCCCTCTCCCCACACAAATATTGGAGAATGCAGAGAATAAAATAATGGGCTCTGGCCACAGCATACATATGGGGCTTATCTGATCCAAGGCTTCTGTCAATGGATGTAAATAAGATAGACTACCGGGATTATACTCAACAAAGTGTTTAATAACGCATTTTTGTTTGCTATGTTATAGTGATCTAGGATAGGCTCAGTCTTCAGTACCCGGTCCAGAGCAGGCCTGGTCAAACAGATGCTTAGTAAGAATATGTTCACCATATATAAGGCGACAACTCTCAGCCCCTGCCCTCTGAGATGCTCACCTCCCTCCTCTTTTATGGCCTCCACAAGATAGCTGGCCTCTTCCTGTATGCGCTGCTCTAAGCTCTTCTTTCCCAACCCAAAGTTCCTCAGGGTCATCAGGGCAAACCTTCTTTGCTCCTTCCATGTCTGGCCACTGGAGAAGATCAATCCTGGAAAGGAGAGATTCAGCGTTATGGCACTGAGATGCTGATGTAAAATTATCTGACAAATGGCATGGGCATGCTATAGAAAGGAGATGGGCCAATAAGGCTCTTGGTAGCTATCTGAAGAGACAACCCCAAAGCAAGGGAACTAAGATTTACTGACTTATTTACAACATCAAATAATTTAGTGTTCCTTGTGTTTTATGTGATTTAACACTTTCAGAAATTTCATATGCTTATTGACAACTAACCCCAGACCCATTGCACCTGATGCAAAAGCTGAGACATTGGGATAGAGCTTACTTTATAAAGAAATCTAGTTAGTAGATTGCAGCTGTTGTATTCAAGTTTCACTCTCTCCTTTGGTCACACAAATCACACAACTCATGTTAAGCTGAATAACAGGGACGCACTCATGAACAAGGTAAGACATGTACTTTTAGCGAGGTAAGGAAATTTTATAGAAGAGGTTCTAGCCGAGACACACATGAAAGAATGAATGACTCAAGACACAGAGACCCTGGAGCCAAGGAGAAGGGACATGGTGTACACAGCATCCATCTACTATCATGGCATATACGATGAATGCTTCTGTCGATTTGGTAACGTTAAGAGATATCCCTAGATCCTTTACATACACACCTTAGCCTCCTGATTGCCACTTTTTAAAAGATGGTAATAAGTATTCAAACCTCCCAGTTTTATTATTGGTCAGAAGACTAAAGACCACTGGAGGACACAGACTTATAATCAAGAGCAGCAGCAAGAGGAGGCCGGCTGACTCCCATCTATTTTTCTGAGGCAGAGGTTTGGGATTGGAAAATGAAAGTGAGGGCACAGTATGCGTGGCTGAACATTCCATCAGAGCATCAAGAGTTAGTGTACAGGACAAGTGGCTTTTCTTAAATATAGAAGAGAGACATGGTAAGTCCTCTGAGGGGCACTTCTATTCAGACAATATAGCACCCTGCTTCCTTGATAGATGGCAATTCATAATGATAGATGGCAATTTCATTCATGTGTTCAGTCAATATGAATTGAGTGAGCACCAGTGTGCCCCTAGAGTAGGTTATGAGGCCAACAAAGTTTTAAAGAAATGAATGTTTCTAAACTGAAGCATTCTGGAGACCAGTAGAGGCAGAGTCCAATTTTCCTAATTATGCTTACGTGAGTATTGGCCCGTTGTAGACAGGCAGCTTTAACATGCCACAGAATTACAACACACACACCATATATTGCTCAAGGAACTTACCATTTTTCTTAAAGAGATGTTTTCGGAGACAAGTGACAGGACGATTCAGAAAACTTGGCTCCAATTGAGTAAAGACTTCTTTGATTAAGGGCATGCCAGTTACAACCACTGAGGGTATGTTAGCAAAATCCAAGCTTAAAACGTTCCCGTGTTTCTTCACAAACTGAAAAATATTTCAGTAGTTATAGCTCACTGAGTCCATGTCTGTGTGTACAGGGATGGCGGGCACACATGTAGCCAATGGGATTCATGTTGAGATGTCTGCAAAGGCAAGCATCTTCCTCTATGTAAATGTTTTGAAATTTTTTTCTCTTATAAATTGGGTTCAATTACAATATACACTAAGAAGAGAAATTTCCTTTTATAAAATTCCTAAAGAATTCAGCAAATATGAACGAAGTATGCAGCTACCCTACTTCCTTAGAGGAAGGCATGAGGGTATGTGTAGCATCCAATAAGCAAAATCTCTAACCTGAAGCCTCCTGAATTTGATGAAGGCACAGAACAGAGGAAAAAGGCCGAGGAAGGTCTATACATGTTTGGTGTATCTTTAAAAACACTCCTGTTTAAACAGAGAATAATTCCTTCAACATCTGCTACATACAGAAGATGTCTGTGTAAGCAATGCAACCGCCACTGAATATAGCCTGGGTATTTGTGTGTGGAGGAGGTATTTGATATGATGAGCTGTTTCTGGGTTTTCTTTTTTCTCCAATTTAAGAATTTCCTCAAAAAATTTTTCATTCATGTGTTCAGTCAATATGAATTGAATGAGCATCAGTGTGCCCCTAGACAAGGTTATGAGGCCAACAAAATTTTAAAGAAATCAATGTTTCTAAACTGAAGCATTCTGGAGACCAGTGGAGGCAGAGTCCTATTTTCCTAACTTGCCAAAGGTTGAAATTGTATCTTTAAATTCTACTGTAGCAAGCATGGAATTATTAATAAACTAAAATACCTGTAGATATCTGTAGCCAGAGTAGAGTGTGCCCTTCCCATATCTTCTTAGATATGGAGAGCGTAATGAAGGGTGGAGGCTGGCAATGGAGTCTTCCCCGTCATTCTGGAGTGATGCAAACCATAGCTTCTATGGTTAACTGTCTGTGTACTTTTGAGGAAGTAGTTCTATTTTTTGAAACTTAGTATGAACATTAAAAAGTTATCCCTTCCACACTGGGTTCTTTAAGGAAGAAAAAAAGTAGAAACATGAAAGTCACTTTGTTTTCACATTCTAGGCACTCAGCGTCTCTGAGAAATTAGTCAGCTGTTTATATGCAAAGCATGTGAGGTACAAAATCATGATGATGAGGATGAACAAACAGGCTGTGTCTCTGGTCACAGATAGTGCTCACAGAGTAAAGGAATAGTATTTCTCATGCTTTATTTCATCCACTTTAAAACTCCTCACAACAATGAGCATTTCCTATCTTCCCCAAAAGACAAACAAGTTGTTTGTACAGTAGGGTAGCCAAGAAGACAAATCTGTTGCTTGGCTGAGGAAATCTCTAGACATTATGTAATATTTGAGGAAAACAAGATGACTTTGAAATATCCAAATAAACTTGGAGTTTAGTGAGAGCTACAGAGTGGGAGGCAGACTTGAGTGTGAGGGGTGGAGAGTTTGCGAGAAGAAGAGGGAAATGAAGAGAAGGGAAGAGAAGATCCATGAAGATGTGGAATGTGAAAGCTGGTGCAAATAGAGTTAAGTGACAATGCGTGAAGAGTATCAGACTTTCTTTCCCCGTATGAACGAGAGTTAGTTTTTGGAAGGCTCGCTCCATTTCTGAATTTTGTCCTGAGTCACATCTAGCTTCAACAGAGTTATGAAACAGAAGATCTCAGTTCCTCCTTTGCCACATTTGTGCCCCCTCCTCTGAAGGACTGGAGAAAGAAAGTGCTTCAGATCAGAAAGGAAAGGACAAATTTGAAAGGTCAAAAAAAAAGACAGCCATGGGAGGCCGAGTAAGGGACAAAGACAACAGACTCCTGTGCCTTTGAGTCCCAGCTGCACTGACACTGAAGAGCAGGCAGTGTGGGATGTGGGTCTCAGTGAGTGGGGACAGCACCTGGGGCAGCGCATCATACAGGGGAGAGGGCTCCCCCATGTTTGTAGTTGCTGCACTCCCCTTGGAAAATGGTGTTAGCAAACTCTCATGAGCCTCATTTGCATATTGAATAATGAAGAGCAGATGCTGGCAGGATGATAAAAGAGATGGAAAGAGAGAGAAGACTAATAAAATGGCATCTACTCGGAGAGTGTCCAAGAAACACACAGGGAAGCGATAATGTAAGAAAACAGGTAGTGAAAAAAAATTATGGGCTTAAACCATTAAATAGAAATAAATAATAAGGCATGCTCAGTCTTCACATGTGATGGGAAGTGACAGGGATAATTAAACATGGCTGGAGGATTCACTATCTAAGCAAGGAAAATTACTGTGGACAAAGAGGAACATTACATGGAAGATGATCATTCACTAGAAAGACCCGCCAGTCTTACATGTGTACATAGTGCGCATGACAGTCTTTCCAATAGAAGGGGGAAAGCTTCCAGAACTGGGAAAGACAGACAGACTCTCAGCGGAGCTGGATTTTTCAGTGCATCTTTCTCTAGAGTTGATAAAATCAGTAATGAGTGAAGGACCAAATTAGGATCAATAAGAAAAACAGGAGAACAGGTCAAGAGGAGACCATATAGTCTGTCTGTCTTTCCAAGTTCTGGAATCTTTCCCCCTTCT